AAGTTATGCCAGTGTTACCGGGGAGTACCATCAAGGAAGCTCTGCCAATTTTAGAAGGGAGTGCCGTCAACGCGCTAGCTGCAATCGAGGAGAAATTAAATACCGTAATACAAAATCAAGAAAGCATTCTTTTTAAATTAGAAAATCTAGCTAATAAGCCTAAACCTAACGACACCAACAACCCATCTGCAACTTCAAACCTATCATTTCCCAGCTTTAGCGAAATGATCAACACATCATCCGCTCTGGCTCAAGAACAAAGCCAGCTCTTCACTGGCTTTCCTCCACTTATTTTTCCAMTTCCACCTAACATCCATCAACCTGCTGATACTCCCGCGTTCTCTAATCAACCTCTTTTTACTACATCAACGCCCGCTCCCGGAAATTCTGCGCCATGGCTTATACCGATACCAAGTACTAGTACATGTACTACTTCCGATTACGAGCCAGCCACAACACCCACAAGCACCCAACCCAAGCCATTGAAATTCCCAGACRAAGAAACTGTGTCCAGTCTACACAGAACACGACCAAAGTATAATTTCGTCKTGGCTCTGCTCAACCATATATATACCAACAAAGACGATCTTCGAGACTGTAACGTCAATGGGACGGGGGAAAAGCGCGCACTCAATAGTTGCGTAGTGGGCTACCTTWAAGACACCTTTTTCCAGTATTACCCGACATCTGAACAAGACAAAGACGGTGAATGGAAAAAATGCACCAAAGCAATTAACACTCACTTATCAAAATATGTAAATAAAAAGTAAAGAATACATAAACAAAAAATTACGATGTAGAAATGAAAGAAAGTTATAGTGCTTAGAAGGAGGCAATTCCAGGAGAAAGACCCTTAGGAATAAATTCGGAAAACTTACTTTCACCCCGACCTGCTCCCAGTCTGGTCTTGTAGCTCAGCTGGTAGAGCATCGGTAGTACAAATCCGAAGGTCGTGGGTTCGAATCCCCGTGAGATCGGAAATTAATTTTTCAGAATTTATTCCTAAGGGTCTTTCTCCCGGAATTGCCTCCTTCTAAGCACTATAACTTTCTTTCATTTCTATATCGTGTCTATCATAGTGCCATCCGGTCCTAAGTAAAGATGATATTTTTGTTATTCTATGTAACTTATGCTATTGATCTTATGGGATGATTAATATTTATTCAGATTTGTACATTTTGCAAACATTTTTATCTAATATTCATATATTTTAAGCTTTTGAAGCGAATATGCATTCGTCTTATTTATCATAACTTGTAATAATATATTTATAATAACTTATTTATATATCAAYCAATCTTATCGAAACTTAATGTTTACATATTTATTTCTATATTCTATTACATTTGAACTSAAATGCCTCTAAACATTTTCATATTTATATTTGTATATTTGAAACATTTAACTGAATATAGAATTTGAATTAAAAAAGTTTTAAACACTTGGTTGATTGGASTTTTGTTTCAATAAACGCCACATCGCATTCCGGGAGCATCTATCTGTTATCCTCAAATTTKCAAAACTCAATAGTCCATAGGTTTTTTATAATATAAAAATGATCATGATGCGGACCAAGGCAGTTTGGCGTTATTACGTGGTCCGTTTTAAATACCAGGGAAGCCAATTTTGCTCAATTTTCCATAACGGATACCATAAGCCGTGCAGACCGTTAAAAA